CCCCAAAACCCCAAAACCCCAAAACCCCAAAACCCCAAATTTTTATAAATTAGTTGAAATCATAATAAAGTTGGAGGTTATTCATCACTCACAAATTGCTGAGGCTGTGCTTCTTTTATTTCACCATGCACTTCTTCTGTCTCATCAGGAGCCTTCTCTACATTAGACATTGTGACTGCACTTGATGTCATTGAGAGCGGAACAGAGGTTGAGATACCTAAATGAGATTCCTTATGCTCTTCATCTTCATTATCATCATCATCATCTGAATCAGATGAAACTTCAGAAAGCTCTTGGATTGAAGACAATTTATGCTTCATATTTCTCTTTTTCTTCTTTTTCTTTGACTTCATAGTTTTGTTATGATTTGTAGCCTCACTTGTAATTTCCGGCTCCTGCTCAATCGACTGAGGAATATCAATCCCTTCGTCACTATTTTGAGAAGCTTCTTCACTTGAGCATTCTTCAAGAGAAAGAGCGTTCTCGATCTTGAGACCTTTATTCTCCTTTTCTTTCTCAAGTGGGTTTATAGAGTAACCATCTTCTTCAACTTTGCTTTGAGAAAGTTTAGGCTTTTCTTTGACTTCTTCAGAGGCATTGTCACTCTTAGCTTCAAATAGAACTTGTTCCTTTTCTTCGTTATCTTCAGGGGTACTAGAGATATTAAATGAACGGACTTACTAGTATCCTTCATCTGAAGGTTTACTGTTTTTCAACTCTTTAATAGCCCTGTTTGATGTATAGAAATTCACTCTCTGGTCAAATTTGGTAGATTCTCTTTGTAAATACTTAACTACAGCTAATTCTTGCTCTTTTAACTGGGTTGCTACCTTGCTTTTATCTTCCTCTCTATAGGATAAGAGCATATTTCTTACTCATCGATGTTAGCTCCTCCTCCTACAAGCTTCTTCTCTCTGAGTTTGACTTCTTCAAGTCTTTTCTCTGATGTTTCAATTAGAAGTTTGAAGTCTTCGATCTCCTGAAGGACTGTTTCCTTCTTTTTCTCTTTCATCTCAATAAGTCTTTTAGTTCTCTGAGCTTCTTTGAAGTTCTTCTTTTTAGCGAGAGTTTTCTTCTCTGATTCAAGGGTCTCTATCATTCTTTCATGCTCTTCTACCTTTCTGTAATCATTTGCTAAAATTTTAGATGAGTGAGCATACAAAGACTTTGACGGTGATCTTCAATCTCATTTTCAATACCCTTGATCTCATTCTGAATGTCAGAGACCTTGATTGAGAAGAGGTTGTACTTATGAATGATTTCTAGAATATTGAGCTTTTAGAGCCTACCTTCATGCTTTTTGGTAGTTTCTTTGAACTCTTCAAAACTCTTCTGTTCTTCCTCTAGTTTGCTTTTCAAGTTCTCTACTATGCCTTTGAATGAGTCGATCTTTGAATCATAATCGTGGATAGTCTTCATCACAGTGTTTTGGGTTTCCTCTAAATTGGTCTTTTGATGATTGAGTTCATCTTTTCTCTCATTGTTGACCATAATTCTTCTCTCGTATTTCTCAACATCATCGATATACCTTTTATCTATTGTGTAAAGTAGGGCTCTTACCGTCTAGTTCAGAGGTGATTTCTCTGATGATTTCATTCTTCTTCTGCCTTTTCTCTTCGAGGGCGTGTCTTTCATCAACTTTGATCTTTAATTGTCGTTCAAGTTCTTGGATTTCTTGATCTACAACTCCAATAGCTTCATCAAGTTTATTTCTTTCTTCAATATGCTCCTGGGATTTGCCCTTGACCTTCTCCTCAACAGTTTTGAGGCTTTGTTTGGACTCCTCCAGCTTCTCATTCAGAGTATCTGCTTGAGAATTTAGCTTGGTCTCTTGATTGTTGATTTCTTCCTGCGTCTCAGAAATTTTAGTCTCTTCCTCTTTCTGGTAGACTAATTTTTGTGATGTCACCTTGTTTTCAGAAATAGATAGGATTTGGATATTTTCTTCAATAAATTTCAAGTACTTTTGTATTGATTCTGAAAGTAATGGATTACTTCCTTCTTTGGAACCTTCGTCAATTCTGAACTGGCTTGACTTTTTAGAGCTGAGTTCTGAGTTGAGAAGCTCAATTTTTGTCTGAAGTTGGTCAGCCTTATCAAAGTTTTCCACTTTGATCATCTCTTCAAGTTCTGCCTCTGCACTTGAGATTTTAGACTTGAGCTCTTGCTCTTTATCTTTCATATACTGGATAAGTTTCCATTTCTCAATATTTTTATCAATGAGCCTCTTAAGTAGAGCATTATTCTTGGTGAACCTAGTGCTGAGGTAATTAACAGCTTCGGAAGGGTCTGTGAACTCAACCTTTTTAGGCTTAGCTGTAGATTTTCTTAACTTTTTAGACTTTTGATCCTTATCTTCTTCAAGTAATCCATGCTTATTCTGTTCTCCTTTGCCATTCTCTTTACTTCCTTTTTCCCCATTTTCCTTTTTGCCGGAGAACATAGAAAGTGCTCCAGTCAGGTTGCTACTGATCATTGTGCTGATACCAAGATTCTTCCCTGGCTTTACTTCAAGTTTCTCTTCATCCGGTCTCTCTCCAATAGAGCCGAATAGGTTATTAATCTCCTACACAGAGCATAAGACTGATTTAACTAATTTTGAAAAATTTTAGGAAAAATCTGGTGAGAGACTTACTCTACTTTTAGGGATGAATTTTGGCTCAGTATCTTCTTTCTCTTCTACCTTGATTTCTTTCTCTTTTTCTTTAGTTTGTAGTCCAAACCTCGGTTTTACTTCCATAGTAGACCTGGAAAGATGTTGGCTTCCTTTATAGATCTATAACAAATGATAAATTCAGCTAATAGAGAAAGAGAGTAAAAGAAGCTTACCTCGATGTCATTAGCAAGGTCATCATAATCATCGGATAATTTCTCATCTCAGTAGTCACTAATGAGTGTAGACTGGCAAAGAGGTCCTTGACCACCCTGATTGAACTGTCTGTTCTCTTCACTACTATGTTCTATACTTGGAGCATTCAACTCAATCCCTTTAGATTTATCCTTATCTTGCAGTGTTAACTTGTCATGGGTTTCTAAAAGAAATTTATAAATCGATAGAATTCTGAGTAAAAGAGACTTTGCTTCTAGCTTAAAAATAATTTAGAAACTTCTAGTGTTTTTAGAATGGTGAAGGTAGACTAATCACTCTAAATTTGGATCAAATTACTGAATTTTAGAGTCCAGGTAGCATTTTACCAAGATCTTAATAAATATCACCTAATTCTGAAAGGAGGATTTGATACAACTAAGTTTCTTTATTGCTTACCTGATGTATCAAGTTGTCCTGTTGAGTTACGGGCTTTCATACCCTCTTCATTCTCTTTAGTTTGATCGTTCTTTTGTTCTTCTTCAGGATGGGATCCTTTGAATAAGCCGAAAAAGCTCATATTGTTTTAAATATATTATATAGAGTTTGTTCTGAATTTGGGCAAATGTATGGGGTTTTGGGGTTTTGGGGTTTTGGGGTTTTGGGG